CCATAGTATTTTCATATCTATTGCTTATGTATAAATTGAGGGGCTGGGGAACTGGGGGAAAATGAAAAAGAATTTGCTGTCAGGGAACTCTCTTTAAAGTGCTAACGAGCGGGCATATCACTTTAAACACGGTACTACCACACTCAATGGTATTTTCAATTGCTTCAATGCATATGGGTGTTGGACAATCAACAACAGTTTTGAATCATGGTGTTAATGAAGAATTTTGAATATACAATGGACCTCAAAAGAACAAACAAATCCTTCTTCAGAGGACAAAGTGTTCCCTGGAAATAGGGATGGTAAGAATTTGCCTCAAACTTTGGGCATCTTACCAGGAAAGGCTAGTCTTTGGGAAAAGGCATCCTGTTTGGAAAACTAAAGGGTCAACACAAAGAGAAGACCCTCCAGGAGTGAGGATGATACAGTGACTGTGACCACAGGCTGGCGTGTGGCAGAGAAAGTGTGGGGTCTGGCAGGGCTTTGATCTTTTGTGCAGGGGACCCTCTAAGCCACAGTCAACGCAACGGCACCAGACAAGACCGAAACTTCTTTTTGTTCCAATTTCCCTTTGATTCTAATTGTATCTTCATATAAGAGAAAAAGACAGCTGTTCAATTTCTTCACACTCTAGAAATCTAAATCATTTCCCTAACGTAATTATATTCAAGACAATGCTTGCTTTAAAACTTCACCAGTTAATTAGGAAAACTTGTCTCTAAAGCCAATGTTTTTGCTAACTTGTAAAGGCCATACAAAGCTACATACAATAAATAAAATGTGTATCTTACTTCCTCCAATTCCTGGCCATACTGTCTGAAGACTGTAAGTAGAAATCCATCATAGAAAAGTATTTTTCTTTTTTTATGCTTTTTAATTCCTTCATTGTTGCATTTTCTTCCCTTCCCAAAGCAAAATATTTTTAAAGATCTTGATTTTCTTTCTTCTAAAAACATTTTACAAAGTTCCATAGCATTAAATACTTCTTATATTCCAGTTATACTATATTTCCTTTTATATCTAGCACATCTAGAAAAGAAGGACTAACATGTACTTTCCCTAAATAATGAAACTGGTTTCAAATTTTATTTTTAATATTTAAGGAAGAATGTTTGCTAGCAAGCCATCCATACCATTAAATTACTGTGAAAAAACATTGGGATGAGAAGTAACTTGGTCTGAAGACATAATTATATTGACTTCAAACAACTATTTAAAAAAAATATTTTTAAAAAATCACAACACCCTGGAGAAAACAGCGTCTAAATTAAGCAAGTTCAAAAGAAACTTTGACTTCAGTTTTCATTCTGTCGCTGTGCTATGTTGCAACTTGATCATAAATGCTGGGAGGTTTCAATGCTCGTAATTTTTACGGGGGGCGGGGGGGAAAGAAGGCACTGTTACATTTAGAAGTTCTCGTGTTTATCACCATCTGACGCTGTCATAGAAGCAATTGCTACTTACACTCTTTGAAAAAGTGAGAATTTGCAATTCCTCTAACTGATGACAATGTAATTATTCTTTCTACTGTCAAAATAGAGGTGATTCCCCTTCCTCATACACATGATTACACATGCAAATCCAAGCTTATCTGCAATATTGTACGCACACTGAACGCCTGAATCTGAATGCACAAGATCACATGAACAATGAGGCTTACTGATGGTGGAAGCCAAAGCAGAGGCCATCCACCCGAAATGTATTTTTATCATATACTCCCTTCTCTTGTGGCAGCATCCACACGGCTTTCAACACGATGTCATATCATCTACAACATACCGCAACAACCATCACAAAAATAACTACGGGGGAAAAGCCACAGTGAATGTGAATGCCTCGTATGGAGGCTTAATGGCTTCATTAACTATTCATTAGCACGTGCAATGTGTTCAGCCTTTCTGAAACCCAAGCTTCATTGCAGGCCATTCCCTCCGTGCGACACGCCGCGGGCAGGAGAGGTACCCTACCTGGTCATCCAGGTGCTGCATGGAGGCCTGGAGGTGCACGATCTGGCTGAAGAGCGGGCTCTGGAGGACTGACTTCAGGAGGTTCAGCTTGTCTTCATTGGCCACGTCGCCTCGTTCTCGCAGCTTGGCCTGTAAGCGCTCAGCTGCCTGCAGCGCTCGGCTTTTGTCTGGACCAAGAAAGGCACTGAGTCAGTAACAGGACGCAAACGACACGTGTCAAACCTATAAGGGCATCATGTGTGTGTGTGTGTGTGTGTGTGTGTGTGTGTGTGTGCGCGCGCGCGTGCACGCAACAACTCCGAGTCATTCCTGCCATATAGAGGACACAAAATTTACACGTGGACAAAAACGGAGTGGTGTCCACCATGGGGGTACAGTCCATAAGGAGTCGTGTTGTTGACCCCAAGGTGACACCTTTCCAGCAGTTCAAGTTCACAGCCGCTCAGGACAGAAAAGTGGACAATCTTCTCCTGCGCAAGTGCCAACCTCAGAACACTGAGCTTCAAGTGTGACTCATTTACAACTTGACACAATGAGCTGCAAGTCACCATAGATGGCACAAGTGATTCAACATCTGCTTAAGTTATTACATTAATGAAACAATTGTTAGTGCAAGCCCACTCAGTGGTAACTCTCCAAATGAGAAGCTGACACTCCGCTTCCAAAAGGTGAAAGCCTTGAACACCACATGGAACAGTCACCATGTGTTGGAACACATGAGACACTAAAAGTGTATTCCGCACGCCATGAAATCTCTTGGAAGAAATTTTGACTGAAAGCAGTTGACTTGGTACTTGAATATGGCACACACAAGTTGTGTGTACAGTACAGACAGTTAATCAGTTACCCTGAATGGGTTAATTCTGATGACACATATTTGAATTCCAGAGTCAACTACTTCACATTATAGAAAAACTCTCTAAAGACAAATGTTCCACAATTGCACATAACATTTTCTTTTCTTAAAAAGTTATTCAAATTTAGAACCATCACTACTCACCAACAAATAGATGTTATCATTGATAAAATCTCAAATAGGACCATTTCATATAGTAAGGGGCAAAATACTTCGTGATTTGGAATTTACTTGGAAAACAGCACACTGATAATGGATACTGTTGCCCATACCATTGCTGTGTACCGTAGAACAGGAACGAACCCCTAGCTGACCCTCCAGCTGGTTGTCGGAGGCAGTTAATCACACAGGAGGAGACTGCCCATCCTTCTCCTGCAGAGCAGCTGGTGGCCTTGAACTGTGTGCTTTTGGTATTACATCACAGCTTCTTGCACTAGGCCACCAGAGCTCCCTAGTACTAGATTATGGATACTGTAGAACTTTTTGAAATAAAGTAGCATATTTACCATATGCATCAAACAAATACAATTCAAATATTTATTAATCGCCTTACATATCAGGCACAGAGTTGCACAGGAAATGTCTGGAATGTGTGTCCCTAATCATCCTAGTCTCTTGCACAAGTACTTTCACTCCATCACAAACAATAGTTAAAAACACACACATACACACGTGTGAGACAAAACTCCCTCCCTTTATTTTTAAAGGGGCCTGTGTTCATATATGTATCCTAATAGGTTGATAATAAGTGAATCTATTAAAATATATTTGCTGGTTTTGTCACAGTAATTAAAACTGTGGGGATTTTCCCCAAAGACAGTTTCTTTCTGCAGAATCTGGCCCGACACAGAAATTAAGACATGTATTGAGGTTAGTAATGAGTTAAGACATAGACAACTTAAGAGAAACAATACGTATCAATATGTACAATTTTAAAGGGATATTATTATAAGGTATGAATAGAAGATTTCAAAAGGCAGCACGGGACGACAAAGTAAAATATTACAATGAAATGTGCCAGGAGTTGGAGTCAGAAAATCAAAAGGGCCGACTCACTCAGCATTTCTTAAGCTCAAAAAACTGAAGAACAAATTCAAACCTCGAGTTGCTATAATGAAGGATGCTTTAGGAAGAATATTAAATGATCCAGGAAGTATTAAAAAAAGATATACTGAGTCACTGTATCGAAAGGAATTGGCAGACACAGAAGAATTTCATGAAACAACATATGAGCAAGAGCCTATGGTGATGAAGGAAGAAGTTCAAGCTGCTTTGAAGGAAATAGCAAAACATAAGGCCCCAGGTATAGACGGTATACCAATTGATATATTTCAGCTAACAGATACTGCCCGGGACGTGCTCACCAAGATGTGCCAAGAAATCTGGAGAACAACCACTTGGCCAACTGATTGGAAGAGATCGATATTTGTTCCTATCCCAAAGAAGGGTGACCCAACAGTGTGAAAACTATAGAACAATCTCATTAATTTAACATGCAAGCAAGATTCTACTGAAGATTATCCAAAAACGACTGGAACAACACATCAGCAGAGAACTGCCAGAAGTCCAAGCTGGATTTAGAAGGGGCCATGGTACTAGGGATATTGTAGCTGATGTTAGATGGATCTTAGCTGAAAGCAGAGAATATCAGAGGAATGTCTATCTCTGTTTCATTGACTATGCAAAGGCGTTTGACTGCATGGATCATAACAAACTATGGCTGACTCTGAGAAGAATGGGAATCCCAGAACACTTGATCATGCTAATGAGAAACCTATACTTGGACCAAGAGGCAGTCGTCAGAACAGAGCAAGGGAACACTGCATGGTTCAAAATTGGGAAGGCCGTGCGCCAGGGATGTGTCCTGTCTCCATGCCTTTTCAACCTGTATGCAGAACAGATCATCCAGGAGGCTGGGCTCTATGAGGAGGAATATGGGGTCAAGATTGGTGGAAGATCGATCAACAATCTGCGATATGCAGATGACACAACCCTGCTTGCGGAAAGTGAGGAGGATCTGAAGCACTTGCTGCAGAGTGTCAAGGACTGCAGCCTCCAATATGGATTGAGGCTCAATGTCAAGAAGACAAAGATTCTCACCACTGGACCAACTGGCAGCATCAGGATGGATGATGAAGAGACTGAGATTGTTCACAGCTTTAGTTTGCTTGGCTCCACAGTCACTCTCAGCACCAGTAGCCAGGAAATTAAAAGATGTATTGTGATGGGAAAATCTGCTCTTAGGGACCTCTCCAAAGTACTGAAGAGCAAAGGTGTCTCTCTGGAGACTAAGGTGAGTCTGATAGAGGCCATGGTCTTTGCAATCACTTGTTATGCATCAGAGAGTTGGACAATGACTAGGAAGGATAGAAGGAGAACTGATGCCTTTCAGCTGTGGTGCTGGAGAAGAGTATTGAGGGTACAATGGACTGCTGGGAAAACAAACAGATTCATCCTGGAAAGGGTCAAACTGGGCTGCTCCTTGGAGGCAAGTATTCTGAGGCTCCGTCTAACATACTTTGGACATGTCATAAGGAGGGACTGAACCTTGGAGAGGTACATCATGCTTGGTAGGGTGGAGGGACAGTGCAGGAGAAGAAGGCCCTCTATGAGGTGAATTGATTCATTGATGGGGCAATAGGGATGGGTGTATCAGAGATGGTGTGATTGGCACAGGACAGAGCGGAGATTAGGGCTGTTGTACATAGGGTCGCTATGAGTCACAAGCAACTCGACAGCACATAAAAACAACATCTGTCGTGGGTCATATCTCCCATGGCATTTCAGAATTTAAATCTAATATATATTAATCCTCATATCAATTTTCCGGAGGTGTCCAACTCAGTAACAGAAATAAAGGTTATGCATAGTTGTGAATCTGCCCTGTTTTCTACTTTAAGTAAATTTCCTACAAGGATAAGCATTTTTCACACCATGTGATATTGGTATAAAAAGGGGGGAGTGTATGCAAGCATTATTATTACCATCAAAGTTTCAGGAGCAAAGTCATTGTCATGTTTCCTCTGGCCACAAAACCATCTGCTTCTCCCTTATGGCCACTTACCCTCTCCCTCCCTACCAATTACTGCTCTAGGTTGTCATGGTACCAGCCATGACCGTCAAGGGGCCAGAATGAAATCTAGACAAGTTCCAGTAGACAACACACCAAGGGAGTTAATTGACACAGGTGAGCAACTGGGACATCACAGGATCGCTGGTGTGTACATACCTGGCATACCTGTAATGAACTTCTCTAAAATTTGGTTTCTCTTGTACTAGAGCAGTATGGAAAAAAGATTAACAAATGAGTTCGGAAATTTTTTGGAAATTCCCAAACGCAACTCAAATCATCTCACGTAGGAAAGAAACTGCTTTAAGTCTTAATGAAGTTGTCCACCTGGAGAGGGCCAGATAACTCTGACTCCCTTCATCACTCATTAAAATCAAGAGCTCAAGTTGTATTTCACTTGTCACAAAGAAGTAAGATATAAACAGTAACCTTCTTCTACTGTTTAAAATACTGTGGAACTTTCTGGTGCAACATGTAAATAGACATTAACCAGAAAGGCATATACATCAAACTTGACTAAAATACTCAACTCGTAGGCTATCTCATATCCTTTTAACTTTTGCTTCAACATGATAAGTTTTATAACACTTCACATGAAATTAAAAATACAATACCCTAAAGTATTGCTAGTAGATAAATTTTTCCTCAATGAAGTTAGTGTGCAGAGAGAATCACAATATGTACAACATACCATATTTTAAAAGTTCCTAAGGAAAGGGTTTCCATTTTCTCAAAAGTATGTAGGGAGGAATAGCTCCTTCTTACCTATGGTTTCCAACATTTTTTTTCAAAGTCCAGTGATCTTCTTTATGAGGATTAAAAACAGCAACAAAAATAGATAACTGGGAAGAAAAGAAAAGAAATGGTCACGTTTTATAGAACTTAAAAATCATGTCCTAAATCTAAATATTTTAAAATTCATTCACTATTAATGCAATCCTCTGACCATTAAAATATTGTTGATTTAACATAAGATGTTCTCTTATAGGTAAAAATTCTTAACTCAAAATTATCTGATAGTTGCAAATAACACTTGTATGTTAAGAGATATTTAGTCTGCCTTGAATAAGATATTAAAAGTTACCAAAAAATTTCCTGCCGAGCTTCTAAGCATAAACAATTACTATCTTGAATTCATTTTTACGCTCTTAACCATAACAATCTTATTTCAACATAAGAAATTCTATGAGTGAAAAGACTAAAAATGTGCAAAGCCGACGACACGATTCTCCTCTCAGTGCCCCAAAGGCTCGAGGATATTCACCCTCACACAGTGCATGAACCAGAGGACAGTGTGTCAAATCATGAAAGAAAAGCCGTGTAAAAATACAACGCTGAAAAAAAAAATACAACGCTGGAGACGGGAGAACGCCGCCACCAGAAGGGCGTCCACCGCGAGAGGGGCCCGGAAGAGACCCGGGAAGAGCAACAGCCAGCCACCTACCGCGGAACTCCAGAGAAGCGAAGACTGTGAGACGCCAGAGGAACGAAGACTACCCGACACTGTGTGACCCCCCTGCAACCCACACCTGTGTGACCCTTAACACACAG